GAAAAGAAGACAAAGTTGAGGGTTTTTTCAGAAAAAAAGTCTTTCTCATGAAAAAAATAAAAAACAAGGTTTAATCCGGAAAAAACATAAAATATAAGGTCTTTTATGAAATTAACCTTTTTTCAATGATAACAAATATATATATGAAAAAAAAATGATAACAAAAGTAATATGCTATTTCTTGCATTTACAGATTTACCCCCAAAAAAAAAATTTGATAACAAATATATATAAAAGTAGGTTGCTATTTCTTACAAAATACCTTCGCAACAGCAGATTGAACATGATTAAACAGCTTCATAGCACTAGCTTTGGTGGATCCCCTCAAAATAATAATACAAAGATTTAATATCTTCTGAACTTTATCACAATCACAAATACTCTCACAGCTCCTAAGAAGCTTCTCAACATGTGGGACCAGGTCAGTCCTGGCATCACACCGCCTGCATGAATACTCAGCATCCAGACCGATGGTCCCACCCACGGTCCCAGCCATATAGGACCGCAGTCCACATTCAATGTGGCAAATGTGACCACAAATGAAGTCATGGCTCTGGTTCACCATGGCTTCACATTTTATGAAACTGTAGTCACTAATGGAGGAATTCACAGGTCTAGAACAAAGTATACAGCAACAATCATGGCAGAAATAAGGCTCTACACAACAGATGTCACATGGCATTGTGTAAGGGTATATTGGGTTGTTTGTTTCAAGTAGTCTTAGACTTGAGCAGTTTATGTTTCCCGCTTTACACCCTGCTGGATCGAATTGTTGATTGCTGATTGGATTTTCCATCATGATTTCTTTGTTTCCTGTATGATTTTGGTTGGGAATTTGATGTGTGAGAATTGAGTTATGATTAATTTAGATGAAATTGAGTTACCTTTGATGTTTGCAGCTTGGATTTTCCAAGTGAAGGAAGAGAAGAACGCATTGATATCGATTCCTGGAAATGTTTCCATTAAATACCTTTCAAGTGAAGCTTTGCTAGCGAAACCTTTGCCACAAGTGACACCAGAGAAACCTACTAACTTATTTTCTTTGTGAAGACGATCAGGGAGATAAAGATATCTGTCTATAAAGTGTCCTGAAACTCCAACTCTTTTTCCCACTTTCCAACCCCATTTGTCACCAGGTTGAGGGAAATCTTCAGGGGCATATGGTAAACCAATACCTGAGCTGTCGAACACCACAGCCATCTCATTTTCCTTTGATCCGGTGGTGCTTCCATCGCTTTCATGTGGAGGATCGATCTCCATAACAACTTAAAACTATTTTACTGTTAGTTTTTCTAAACGAATAGAATAGTGCTTGGGGGAAAGTGATGATTATGTATGTATGGATATACAACACCAGATGTACTTGCCTTCGAGTTGGATAAAAATCGACACCGGATGAGAAAATAAGCACTGGAAGATGCTTCACTGGTAAGGATTTCGCAAGCGATAGCAGAAACCTCGACAGAAACCCTAAAAATTCTCAAACTTGACAGATTTCACCGCGGCTAGGGTTTTACGATCACTGTAGCTTCGCAACAGCAGCGTCTTCCTTTTAGAGTCCCGGTGAGTTAGGATTGAGATGAAAGGTGACTGGAGTTTCGCGGCAAGAGGATTCGTCTCCAGAAGTTCACAATCAGTGGAGCTAGACACCAGGAGGATGCGAAAGCAGTCGCGCCGGATTTCGCAATTCGGAAGAGGGTTTGCGATGGTTCAGTGTTTGTGACGATGGATGGTGTTCATGTCACCGACCTATCATGGCGATGGTAGTGGTGGCTACAATTTCTCGGCAGTGGATGGCTGCGAAGGTGGCTGGAGGCTGGTGACACTGACGACGGTTTTGCTATGCTATTTATTGTACCCGACGATGCTTTCTATTTGGTTTGGTTAAAAATCAACCGTTTTAATTTGAAAATAAGAAAATGTTTTCGCAATATTATCCGCTAACAAAATTAAAAATGGTTTTCACAAATATAATTGTTTTGCCAAAAATTTTAAAAAGTTTTCACAAATTTATTTATTTTTGACAAAACTTAGTCCATATATTAAATGGATTAACTTAAAAAAAAGATTAAACATAAATAGAAAATAATGAATTATTATAACAAAAATATTTTTTTATCTTTTAAATTTAAACAAATAATTTAAATAAAGAAAAAAAACTAATGAACTTTAATTTTTCTGAATTTTTAAACTAAAAGGTAAATTTATTAATAAAATTGATATCCATGTATTACTACATTTATTGCAATTATTAAATTAAAATATTATGTGAAATTTAATAAAATAGAAAAACTCATAAAATAACATACGAAAAAAAATTTAATTCAAAATAACCACAAAATGATATTTTTACAAATTGATTAAGAATGTGACAAGTGGTAAAAAAACATTCATTTATTAGAGACAACTAGTTGTGAGATCCATGTATTATATGAGTTAATTAAAAAAAATATAAAGATCTAAATATTTGAGAAATTTGAATTTATAAGAATATAGAAAAATAATGAATTATTATCATAAAAATGTTTTTTATCTTTTAAATTTAAACAAATAATTTAAATAAATAAACAAAAAAACTAATGATTTTTAATTTTGAAAATTTTTAAATTAAAAGATAAGTTTATTAATGATATTGATATCCATTTATTATTACTACATTTATTGCAATTATTATATTAAAATATTATTTAAATTTAAAAAATAGAAGAACTTATAAAATGACATGTGAAAAAAAATTATTTCAAAATAATCATAAAACAACATTTGACAAATTAAATAAGAGTGCGACAACTGGAAAAAAAAACATTAATTTATTAGAGTATATGTTATTTATTTGGTCTCGATGATTTTAATTTTTTTTTATATAGTTGGTTATTTACATGTGTAAAATAACATTTATATCATTTTAAACATTTTATAGGTTATTAAAACTATTTTATTAAAAGTTAAATAAACTTTAAATAAAACCACACCACACCACACCCCAACCTAAAATCTTTTTCTTTTCCAATGTAATTCCTACACCTCAAACCATCTCCAACGACTATTAGGTATGGCAAATGTGTTGTGTTCATTTTTCTGTCAAAACTTAAACGAGTTGAGATAACTTGATCCAAATTCGATTTTGTTTAATTTTCGTGTCGTGTTAACAATTTTATTTTCGTATTGAGTTTGTGTCGGGTTCGCAAGTTTAGGATTTAAACTAGACTTTGTAAATATGTCGTGTTATGGTAGATTAAAACACTAAATAAATTGAAAGAGTATGAGTTTGAGAGACGAAAAAGGGGCATATACCATAAAAGTCCTAACATTTTGTCATTAAATTTGGGAAAACCATTTAATTTTCGGTAACTGTGGCCATTTTTATGTCGTTGAGCTATCGAATTAAGACTAATAGTCGGTTAACAAATGGTACCCTACCTCAACCGGTCACCTCTTACCTTGAAACACCCATCCATCATCTCCCTCTCCATACACGTTCAACTTTTAGAACTCAAAAAGGGTTTTCATGTATACAAACGTTTGGGAAGAGGGGTTTGAAAAGTGATTGTGAAGAATCACCATTTTCACATGAGAAATTATTACTGAGACATACTGCAAGTGCAAGGTACGTACATTCGAACATGAAATTGAAGTGTATGTAGGTTTTTTCCTCACGTCATTATCAGTAACAAGTTCTTTATTGTACATTGAGCAAATGGCCTCTGTTTCCGGTACTAATAAACACAAAGACAAACAACCTAAAACTAGTACTAAGAATGAGAAAGGAAAAGGACCTGAGAAGGTATAAGTTGAAGACTCAGACTTAGATGATGAAGTTTTTGACTTTAATTGCTTGGATTTTTCACAAGAAACCTTCAACCCACCATCCAACCTTTGTAACAACCCTTTTCTTAACTTTTTGTGTGATGAAAATATGTTAAAGAGGGGTATAGACGGGTCGGGGGATGATAATAATCAACCTAATGTAAATGAGGTTGAGCATGGACACATACCATAGGTAAATGATGAAGAAATTGGTGTAGAGTTTAGGGTCCATAATCCAAACCAACTTTAGAGCGGAATGAGACCTGAATTGGGTTAATGTTATGAGTCACATGCTTAACTTAGGTTTACATTAACAAATTATGCAGTCTGTAATGGTTATGGTATTTACTTTGAGAAAGTGATAGACTTAGGGTAATTGCTATGTGTGGCAACAATTCTAGTGATAAAAAGCCATGTCCTTTTAGGGTAACAGCTACTTGGAAGTATAATGAAAGGACTTTCCAAATTAAATCCATTGTTAAGACTCATCATTGTGCTAGGAATTACAACTTTGGTAGCTTAGTTACTTCTAACTAGTTAGCCAAGCACTACTTGCAAGATTTCATTAGGAAGCCCAAAATGACAATGAATGAGATAAAAGAAGATGTTTTAAGGAGGTTTTTAGTGAATGTATCTAAGGGGCGATGTCAAATATCGAGTTCATAGGCTAGGGATATGATATAAGGAAAGTTAGAGGAACACTATGTTAGGGTTTAGGACTATGCATATGAAATCCTCAGGTCTAATCTAGGGAGCACATGCAAGGTTGGGGTAGCTGTCAATCCTGGTGGAATAGACTATTTTAAGAGGTTATATCTATGCTTTAAGGCTTTCAAGGATGGATGGAAAAAAGGATGCAAAAAAGTGATAAGACTTGATGGATGTTTCTTGAAGGGGAAAGTAAAGGGTGTGTAGCACTCGGTTCCTGGTATGTAATTTATTTTGTTGTATTTTTCATTTTTGGCCTAGGACTCGGCGAGTTGAAGGCCCAACTGATCGAGTAGGAGTGGTATTAGACACATGACTAAAGTGATGGACTCGTCGAGTCGGCGGCCAGACTCAACGAGTAGGCTCTGACCGGAAAAAACCCTAATCTGAGGGTTTGCACCCTATTTAATCATCTCTTTCAGCCACCACTCGTCCCTAATGCTCCCAAAGGCTCTCCATAGCAAACCCTAAGTGTTTTGGTGCAAGAACTAAGGCTTTTGAGTGATTTTTGTGTGTTTTGACCTCAAGGAATAAGGAAGAGAATAGAAGGATCAAGAGGAGACTGAAGGATTCAAGTTTGGTTCATCATTTGCAGTCTTTGAAAGGTATAAAGTCTGTACCTTGCTTGCTTGATTGTTAGATCCCTTTTTGGGGAAGATTTAGGGCTTTTAAGCCATGTGAGGTGACCAACCATGATTTGCAAACATGGTTGGGGGTCAAGACTTCAGATCTAGCACTTGGGAAGAGCCACAAGGCAGATTTGGGTTACTTTTGCACCCAAGGAAGGCCCCATGCAAAAAAAGAGCCATTTTAGAGCCTTTTTGGCTCAAAAGTCTCATGCATGCACATAAAGTTCGTAACTTTACATGCTAGATCGAGCTTAGGGGATTGGATCTATCATTTGGACAAGTGTTGTACATCAGAAATCAAGGATTTAGGGTGTGGACGTTATCGACTCGGTGAATCCGTTCTTGGGACTCGACGAGTCCAAGGCTTTGAGTACCATATTTGTTGAGGGTCAAAAGAACTCAGTTGGGTGTTAGAAGGGTTGTAGCAGGACAGAAGGAGTGACCCAACGCATTGGACTTAGTTTTAGATCTGGAGTTCATGGGACTCGACGAGTGCTAGAACAAACTTGACGAGTTCAAGGAAATCTTCTTATGTTTGAAGATGAACTCGACGAGTTGTTCGTACAACTCGGCGAGTCAAGGTCAGGACTTGTTCACCAGATGAAGGCGAACTCGACGAGTTGTTCATACAAACAACTCGGCGAGTCAGATAAAGGTTCATTGATGTTCGTAAAGAAGGGGAACTCGTCGAGTCGTTGCCAAACTCGACGAGTCGAGTCATGGATAAAGATGAGTAAAGGGTAGGGACTCGATGAGTTGACGACCCAACTCGGCGAGTCGGGTCAACTGGAAGTTGACTTTGACTTGGACTTGGTTGGGGGAAAATAATCATTTTACTCTAAGAGTAGATATCAGATTCTGACTGAGTGTTTTGTGGGGATTATAGCTGGAGGATTTTCGGAGCAGCAGCAGACAGAGATTTCCTGCGCAGATTATCAACAGCTACTCGTACGAGGTGAGTTACCTTCTAGTAGGGGTGGGTCTAAGGCCAAAATGTCAGCCACCAAAGAGGAATATTTAAGAGATGATTGTCTTTCTGATAATTATCTTGGTTGGGTTATGTTCCTTGATTATGAGACTTATCGATGTGATATGTTATGTGTATAGTAGGGATCAGTTTCCCTAATAGTGGTCCTTAGGACCGAAGGGTAGATCAGTACCCGAACATGCCTGATTGTATGCTTATATCTTGATG